GGTTCTTGCTTGAGGTTCTCTGTGCCTCCTGGACTTGTGTGATTTTTTTCCTTTACTAGATTAGGAAATTTTCTGCCATTATTTCTTCAAACACTTTCTCTATATCTTTTGCCATTTCTGCCTCTTCTGGTACTCTTGCTATTCTAATAATGTTATGTTTCACATTGTCCCACAACACTTTTATGCTGCCCTCCTGTTTTTTTGTGCGAGTTTTTTCATTGATTTTTCTTTCTAGTTTTCTTTTTTTTTTTTTTTGGGGGGGGGGCGGATTTTAAATACATTTTATTGATTTTTTACAGAGAGGAAGAGAGAGGGATAGAGAGCTAGAAACGTCGATGAGAGAGAAACATCGACCAGCTGCCTCTTGCACACCGGGGATGTGCCCACAACTAATGTACATGCCCTTGACCGGAATCGAACCTGGGACCTTTCAGTCTGTAGTCTGACGCTCTACCATTAAGCCAAACCAGTTTTGGCTCTTTCTGGTTTTCTGACTGAGTGATTTTTTTTTAACACTATCTTCTAATTCACTGATTCAATCCTCAGATTCCTCTAATCTTATTTGTATTCCTTCCATTGTGTTCTTTATTTTTGCTATGCAATGCTTTATTTCTTTTTTCATAGTTACTATATCTTTTCTTATGCTTTTGAACAGCTTTACCATCATTATTCTGAACTCTGTATCAGATAAATTTCTCATCTCCAATTTATTTATCTCTTCTTCTGGAGAACTCTCTGTTTCTTTCATTTGTGGGTTATTTCTTTGTCTCCTCATTTTTGTTGCCTTTTTGGGTTTGTGATTGTATTAGGTAGATCTGCTACACCTCTCAATCTCTAGTGCAGGACACTGTTAAATGCTAATTAGACTGGAAAATACTCAATTAGATCAAGGAAATACTCAAAGCCTCCAGAGACTGCCTCTGCCTACAGACTGATAGGATTCCATCTAGGTAGCTCTCAGGCAATCATCTATAGGTGTGGTGATAGTTTCTCACAGAGTGGGGCAATTGCTTCTATCTGGAAGCTACCATATTTTCCGGCATATAAAACGACCGGGCGTATAAGACGACCCCCTAATTTTACAGTTAAAACATAGCTTTAGGCCTATATTCGCTGTATAAGATTACCCCCCACTTCCGAGGCAACACCAGTTCTTTTTTTAATAGACCTCCTCTCTGACTCTGGCCAATCTGAGCAGGCTTTTTATCCATGCAAATTATACATGTTCTGTGCCAAAGCTACACTGTGTTCTAGTAAAAAGCCTGCTCAGATTGGCCAGAGTCAGAGAGGCGGTCTATTAAAAAAGAACTGGTGTTGCCTCGGAAGTGGGAGGTAGTCTTATACAGCGAATATAGGCCTAACCCTATGTTTTAACTGTAAAATTAGAGGGTCATCTTATACGCCAGAAAATATGGTAATTGTTATTTCAGTCTATTAATGGGTCTCAGAAATTTCACCCAGTGGATCAAGGTGTTTACCAATAAGGTGGTCAGCTGTCTTTCCCCCAGGCAAAGCCACCTGTATAGCCAATGTCTGTGTTAAGGTATGAGTCAACACAGGAGACTAAGGTCTCTGCCTTCTGAGATCTAACCCCAAAACCCAGATCCTGGCTTCTATTCACAAAACTCCAGTCCATTCTGCCCTCTCACTGGCAGAGCACAAGGAAATGGGCTCCACAGGGAATTTTGTGTGTTGGCATTCTATGAGGGTGCCTGCATTTTAAGCCATCTCTCCATTGAAGATAGCAACCCCACTGCTTTTCACAGCCATATGTTATGTGTGTACCCTTCTCAGTTCTTGTGCTCACTTCTGGGAGTCCCAGCTTGGGAATTAGACACAAGAATTCTCAGTGGCAATTTCTCACTGCTGATATATCTTTCCTGAACTTCATTTGTTATCTGTAGGAGCCCACTATTGCCTCCTCCCCTCCTACCAATCTTTATGAGGTTTCCTCTTTCCATCCTCCAATATCAGGATTCTGTTCATTGAGTCTTCTGTTGATTATTCAGGAAGTTTTTCTGTATTTTAGTTATAATTCCAGTTTGTTCCTGAGTCTGTGTCTGTGCAGCATTGACTTACTCCTCACTCATAGTTTCCATTTGACAGTGTTTTAAGATTCTTTTTATTTGGTAAAAATAATTGAAATGAGCAACCAGTGGTTGAGTTAGCCATGTTCTTATTTTGTCTTATTTTCTTTAGGTAGCAGTAAAATTGCGGACTTATTTCATTTATTCTTTTGATGACATTTTCATTTATTCTTTTGATGACATTTTAATATTAAGGGTAAAATTCAGTTTCTTTTAATTCAAAGGAATAATATTGGTCTCTTTTAAAAAGTATTGCATGTTAATGAGACATGGTTTGGCTGCATTTCTGAAACTCAGAGGAATACTCAACCAAGGGAAAAATGATCATGTTGTCTGTGTTTTTTATAGACAGTTGTTGTTGGCAAACTTAATGCTTATGTTCTGAGGCCAAGGGGAACAATTCCATTTTAGACTTCCTTTCCTCAGACTATGACACACAAAAGCTAGCCAGAAAATGGATTAGCAGGCTCTGTAATGACTAGCTAAAGTAAAGGAAAAATTACCAAAATGTTCCAGCTATAACATTCCTTTGAGATGTTTATAGTCGGTGACAAATCCAGTATTTGATTGTGTTAACATCTCTGGTTCAGACATGAAAACAACTGTAGTAGAGTTTTTCTTTTTCAGAAACAGTGAATACTGTATAAAGGATCCAAGAAGAGCATTTTAGAAGGTCAAAAGGAGCATTCTTTTCTCTAGTCTATTCTTTTCCTAGTAACTTGAACATATTAGTTGCCCCTCTTGTATTGCTGAAAAAGACCAAAGGAAAACCAAGAGAAGAACGCCGAAACCGGTTTGGCTCAGTGGATAGAGCGTCAGCCTGAGGACTGAAAGGTCCTGGTTTTGATTCCGGTCAAGGGCATGTACCTTGGTTGTGGGCACATCCCCAGTAGGGGTTGTGCAAGAGGCAGCTGATTGATGTTTCTCTCTCATCAACGTTTCTAACTCTCTATCCCTCTCTCTTCCTCTCTGTAAAAAAATCAATAAAATATATTTTAAAAAAGAAAGAAAAAGAAAATGGATGACATAAAAATGTATTTTTAAAAAAAGAAAAACCAAGAGAAACTTTAAAGAGGAAGGATACTCTTTAATACACCAGTGGACTCAGGGAATAGCTTTCCATATCTTAGTGCCGAAACATGATGGGGTTTCTTTTTATATCTCACTGTGGTCTTTGTCCTTCAAATATGGATTATGCTTCTGGTCCTTTTTGCAGGCCTTGCAAGAAGGCCCCCAGGTGTTGGGGGTCTCAAGGCCATATCTGATGGTCTGGCCTGGCATCAGCATTAATAACCCTCCCTATGGGGCAGTGCATTGTTCAGTTTTATGGCCTCTACAACAGGTTCTGCAAGACCAGTATCTGGGAAGGAGGCAGTGACTTAATTATAAGTTATCAAAAATATACACTGAGCTTGCTGGCATGAATTCAGATTACTAGCCCCCAAATATCAGAGTTACATTGGAATTAGCCCTTTTTAGCCTTCTCAGTATAAGTTAATTTAGGGGCTATATTTATTGAAAGAATCTTTGATTTGAAATTGGTATTAAAACTCACTATATTGCAATCTATACTAAGAAGAGAGAAATATTATAATTGACCATTACTCTGCAATGCCCTCAGCCAGTCAGGAGGAAATATGCAAATTAGTGGGACAATGATGGCAGCAGCCACAGAGCCAACTAGAGAGGGTGAGAGGCTTGGGTTACCCTAGTGATGGAGGAAGTCAAGCTTTCTACCTGCCTGGGCTGGCTGCTGAATGAGGGGCCTATGGATGGCAGCCATGGAGCTGGCTTGAGCACGCAGGAGGCTCAAGTCGCTGGGGCTAGCTGCTGAGAGAGTGGCCCTTCGCACCTCATCCAGGCTTGCCATGCTCCCTTGGGGTAGGGCCTGGCCAGTCTGAAAACAACCATCAGCCCCTCATTCAGGCTGGCCAGGCACCACAGCAGGGACCCCCACCCTTAAAGGCACGTGAATAGCCTGAAAACGGCCCTCAGACCTTCATCCAGGCTAGCCAGACACCCCAGCGAGACCCCTACCATAAATGAGGTATGGCCAGCCTGAAAACAGCCCTCAGGCCCTTTACCCAGGCTGGCCATGCCCCCATGGGGTTAGGGTCCCTGCTGGGGGGTATGGCCAGCCTGCATACTGCCCTAGCCCCTTGCCCAGGCCAGCACCATCCCCAGTGGGGACCTCCCCCAATGAGGGCGTGGCTGGCCTGCAAACCACCACAGGCACCTCATCCAGGCCACCCTGCCCCCCAAGGAATCCCTACCTTTCAGGGCAAACTAGCCTGCCCTCACCCATGAACCAGGCCTCTATCTATACTGATAGAAGGTTTATATGGTAATTAGACTGGGAGACCTTTCAAGAGACCTTCTGGACGTTTTTTTGGATAAAGCCATCGTGGTGGGGCCAAGGTAATGGCAGTTAGGGGCCAACATGGGAGGGCTGTTGGGTTTGAGCAGGCCAGCAGGGGGAGCAAGTTGGGAGTAATCAGGCTGGTGACGGGGCAGTTGGGGATGAGCAGGCTGGCAAGGGGGACGCTGGGATAAGTAGGCCAGCAGGGTAGTAGTCGGGGGTGATCAGGCTGGTGGGGGACAATTGGGGATGAGCAGGCCAGTAGGCAGAATGGTTAGGGACAATCAGGAGCCAGCAGTCCCAGATTGCGAGAGGGATGTCCCCCGAGGTGTCCAAGTTTGGGGAGGGAATTTTGTGCACCGGGCCACTAGTTTACATATAGAATAAAGGAGTCTAAATAACTCATATTTCTCTCATGGTGAGCTGTGATGTTTCAGCCTAAAAATTTGACCTAATGGGTTCTATAACTGTGTAATGGGTCAATGGAATTAACATACACATGAGTTTTTGTCTTTGACTACTAATTTCTCTATTCTCTATCTGTTGTATTGCAGGATTTATTGGTTATGCTCCATATATCAACCGTATAGTTCAACAGTGGAACCTACAGGATAATGATGATGATCAGCTATTTTATACTAAAATTTACATTGATCCACTGAAGAGGGTATGTAATAGCTCCTGCTCCCACTTTCATTGTAACCTCCTTGTCCAAGAAGGCTGCTGGAGCTTCCTGGCAATTAGCAGGCAGAGGAGTAAATAAGGGACCATCTCAGTTTTGTCAACTTCCTTCTCACAAAATATTTTCTTTGACTGCAACACATTTGTATGGCTACATATAATATGCAAATAAAATGCTGTCTTTTATTTCTAGTACATGTATCCTGCTAGAAATCTGAAAATTCTGTAATTAAGGGTAGGAGGAGTGAAGTTGGGGCAAATAGCAGTCCTGAGATTGACTTAAATGAAACTTTGGAGAAAAGCAAAACCAAAGCTCAAATGTAATAATATTTTTTAATATATTTACCTAATATAACTTTATAGTTCTAGAATTTACTGAAGTACGTATTCATGGATGTTGTCATTATCAAACGTTTTCTTAAAAGTACATTTTATAGTGAATTTGCAGTTATATTGTTTCTGTATCTTAGATAAGTACTTCAGTCACCTACATATCTTCATTAGACACTTAATACTTAAGAAACTCAATTCTTAAGCTATTTTTCTTCATCTCTGTATTTTACTTTCCCTCTGTGTGCCCGCTATGGCAAGCCTGAGGGACTTGGCCTCTCATCTGGAGAGAAACCTCCTTTTGATGTGGATGCATCATGCTACTACTCTTTTCTTGTAGTTCAACTAGGAAGGTGCTTTGAGTCTTATTTACTTGTTTTTGCTTAGGGTGCTTCCTCCTTGTTGTCTTTGTAATATTTTTGGTTGTCTAAATCCTGTTTAAATTTCTCTCTAAACATAAGAGTATGCTTAGTATGTGTCTTAGTCTGCTTGTATTGCCATAACCAAATACGATAGACTGAATGGTTTAAACAATAGAAAAAATTATTTTCAAAGAGTCTAGAAGTCTGAGATAAGGTTGCTAGCATGGTCAGTTTCTGATGAGAACTCTCTTTCTGGCTTGGAGATGGCCATTTTCTTGCTGTGTCCTCACATGGAATAGATAGAAGAGGAAAGAGACAGACCAAGGGAGAAAAAAAGCTAATGAGGGCAAGCACAGATGTATAAACAGTCATTTCTTATTATATGGGCAAAATTTCCATCATGAGGGCCCCCTCTTTTAAAAATAATATATTTTATTGATTTTTTACAGAGAGAAAGGGAGAGGGATAGAGAGTCAGAAACATCTATGAGAAACATCCATCGGCTGCCTCCTGCACACCTCCCACTGGAGATGTGCCTGTAACCAAAGTACAAGCCCTTGACCGGAATCGAACCTGGGACCCTTCAGTCCCCAGGCTGATGCTCTATTCACTGAGCCAAACCAGTTAGGGCATGGGCCCCCCTCTTATAACCTGAACTTAACCCTCATTGGGATTAGAGATTCAACCTAGGAATTTTGAGGGAGCACAAAGTTTCAATCTACAATAGCATGCAAAACATTTTTAGGAATATTGTGAAGAGCAATATAGCTGAAAAACTGCATTGAGAAACAGAAAGGAGTCCTTGTCTCAGGAGATGTGCCTGTAACCAAAGTACAAGCCCTTGGGACTTGGCCTCTCATCTGGAGAGAAACCTCCTTTTGATGTGGATGCATCATGCTACTACTCTTTTCTTGTAGTTCAACTAGGAAGGTGCTTTGAGTCTTATTTACTTGTTTTTGCTTAGGGTGCTTCCTCCTTGTTGTCTTTGTAATATTTTTGGTTGTCTAAATCCTGTTTAAATTTCTCTCTAAACATAAGAGTATGCTTAGTATGTGTCTTAGTCTGCTTGTATTGCCATAACCAAATACGATAGACTGAATGGTTTAAACAATAGAAAAAATTATTTTCAAAGAGTCTAGAAGTCTGAGATAAGGTTGCTAGCATGGTCAGTTTCTGATGAGAACTCTCTTTCTGGCTTGGAGATGGCCATTTTCTTGCTGTGTCCTCACATGGAATAGATAGAAGAGGAAAGAGACAGACCAAGGGAGAAAAAAAGCTAATGAGGGCAAGCACAGATGTATAAACAGTCATTTCTTATTATATGGGCAAAATTTCCATCATGAGGGCCCCCTCTTTTAAAAATAATATATTTTATTGATTTTTTACAGAGAGAAAGGGAGAGGGATAGAGAGTCAGAAACATCTATGAGAAACATCCATCGGCTGCCTCCTGCACACCTCCCACTGGAGATGTGCCTGTAACCAAAGTACAAGCCCTTGACCGGAATCGAACCTGGGACCCTTCAGTCCCCAGGCTGATGCTCTATTCACTGAGCCAAACCAGTTAGGGCATGGGCCCCCCTCTTATAACCTGAACTTAACCCTCATTGGGATTAGAGATTCAACCTAGGAATTTTGAGGGAGCACAAAGTTTCAATCTACAATAGCATGCAAAACATTTTTAGGAATATTGTGAAGAGCAATATAGCTGAAAAACTGCATTGAGAAACAGAAAGGAGTCCTTGTCTCAGGAGATCCAATATGGCTGCATAGGTAGATGCCTAACCGCAGCCTCACACAACAATTTCAATAAAATACAACTAAAATACAAAATGGACATTACCCAGAACTACAGGAAAGTCGACTGACTGGAAATTCTACAACGAGAAGGAAAGAGAAAACCAGAAGGAAAAGCAGAGGAGCTGTAAAAGCCTAAGGTACGGAGACACGCTGTGTGCGCAGAGAGGACAGAGTCGGAGAGGAGGGGCGGCTGAGTGCCTGGCTGGCGTTCCCTAGTGGGAAGGAGATAAAAGTTCCGGACTGTGCTTAACGCCAGATCCGACAGCACTGAACCTCAGTTCTAGGCCAGACCCTGGGGACCCAGGCTCATACAGAGGGAAACTGGGCTGTAAGGTGGAAACCCAAAGGAGTGGCGAGAGGAAGTCCCAGAGAGGCGCGCACACTGCGTCCAGAGAATGGAGTGTTGACTGTGCCGCTGATTGCCCTAGTGGGAAGGAGACAAAAGCTCCAAACTGCTCTGAACCCCACTTCCAACTCCACTTCCAACTGAACTGAACCCAGTTCCGAGCTCATTGCTGGAGAGCCTAGACTGTTTGGGAGCAGGCAAAGCTCCAGGGCACCTTTCTCTCAGAGGTGCTTGCAGTGAGTACCGAAGGACTCTGAGGAACACTGAGGCTCCAGAACCTCATAGGGCATGGCTGATGGAAGCCAAGGCTGTAGGCTTCACCCTGAAACTCTGTCCCATCCAAGCTGAACACAGAGATTTTTAAGGCTACAAACTCAGGGAAGCTGCAAAAATGCCGAGACAAGGAAACCGATCACAAACGAAAGAAATGGAGGACAAAAAGTGACTGGATATAGAGTTCAAAACTACACTTATAAGGTTTTTCAAGAATTCCTAGAAAAGGCCAATAAAATAAACAAGACCTATAAGGATATGAAAAGGGAACAACTTGAAATAATAAGGGATCAACAAGAAATAATAAGGGATCAACAAGAAATAAAGAATATATTGTCTGAAATAAAAAATATTATACAGAGTCCTAAAAACAGAATGGAAGATCGCAAGAATCAAGTCAAAAGTTTGGAACACAAAGAGCCAGAGGACACTCCTCAGCAAAAGCAAGAAGACAAGAGAATCCAGAAAGTTGAAGATAATGTAAGAAACCTCTGGGACAACTTCAAGTGAACCAACATCAGAATTATGTGGGTCCCAGAAGATGAGAGAGAGCAAGATACCGAAAACATACTGGAAGAAATAGTGACAGAAAACTTCCCCCACCTGGTGAAAGAATTAGACTTACAAGTCTAGGAAGTGCACGGAACCCCAAATAAAAGGAATCCAAAGAGGATCACACCAAGACACATCATAATTAAAATTCCAAGAGCAAAATACAAAGAGAGAATTTAAAAGCAGCAAGAGAAAAGCAGGTAGTTACCTATAAAGGAGCACCAATACGATTGTTAGCTGATTTCTCAACAGAAACCATGCAGGCCAGATGGGAATGGCAAGAAATATTCAAGGTGATGAATAGCAAGAACCTACAGCCAAAAATACTCTACCCAGCAAAGCTATCACTGAGAATGGAAAGCCAGATAAAGAGCTTCACTAAAAAAAAAAAAAAAAAACAAAGGAGTTCAACACCGCCAAACCAGAATTATATGAATTGCTGAAGGGGGTTCTTTCGGAAGAGAGAGGAAATAAAGATAAAAATTATGAACAACAAATACATAACTATCAACAAGTGAATCTAAAAACCAACGGAATTAAAAAAAAATCAGATGAACAATATTAACTGGTGAATATAATAGAATCAGAGATATAGAAGGGGAGTGAACTGACGATTCTTGGGAAAAAGGGGAGTGGAGGATGTGGGAAGAGACTGAATATAAACTGTGCACCTATGGATGAGGACAATAGGGGGGTGGGGAAAGGGCAGAGGGTGGGGTGGGAACCTGGTGGAGGGGAGCAATGGAGGGGGAGGAAATGAGGAACATTTGTAATAATAATATGAGCAATAAAGATTTTTTTTAAAAAAAGAGAGAATTATAAGAGTTTCATAAAATATATTTTTATTTATTTGAGAGAGGAAGGGAGAGGAAGAGAGAGATAAAAACATCAATGATAAGAGAGCATCATTGATTGGTTGCTTCCTGCACACCCCACACTGAGGATCAAACCAGCAACCTGGAAATTGAACCATGACCTCCTGGTTCATAGGTTAATGCTCAAACACTGAGCCACGTTGGGCTGAGTGAGAATCATAAGGTTTGGAAAGCAGATTAATTGCCAGCCTGTTGGCTATGAAGCAGTTTATGCTGCACTAATAACCCTCAAGCTCAACAGCTTAACACAACAGGGGTTCCTGCTTATTGTAGTAATTTGGTAGAGGTGGGTGGGGCCCTAGCTGCTAAAAAAGCTATCTCCAACCTAGCTGGTTCATGTGCCAGAGAGAATGAGCACACTTAGAGTCCCGAACTGGCAATGACATCTCTAAATGGGAAGTGATTTATTTTACTTCTGCTAACAATTCACTGGTCAGAATTAGTCAAAAGATAGAGATGTGGAAATGCTTGGAAAACAGCATGGATGCTTTCACATACATTCTATCTTCTAATTTAATCAATAGTAAAATTATAGTCTTTCTGAAAAATATTGCTGGAATAATTTACATATGGAATTAAAAAATTTTTTTTAAAGAACAAACTATATTATCATGATAATGTTGTTTGTTGTTTCCATTGTCGTTTTTAATATTATCTCTGTTCTTATTTCAGGAAGCTCTTAACATCACATTGGATCACAAATGCAAAATTTTTCAGACTTTAAATGGAGCTGTAGGTACGCTTCCAAAATAATGAATTGCTGTGGATACAAATGGACACCTGTGTTTTCAACTATGCTGTTTATTATATCCATTTTGGGGCTGACCAAGGTTTACTGTGTAAATATTGCAATTATTAAAAAATACTGGACTTGAGCTTATTGATGCAATTCAAATGATTCAGTCCAAATCATTGCCTCAGAGTGATGGAAAAAAAGATAAGCTTCTGACTTTAGGTAACATAGAATTTAGTATCTCACCATCTGGGACTGTATATGTTGTTTTAAATTAATTACACCTACTGTTACACATTTTTCATGATAAGTTCTCTGCACTGATAATTACTCAGGAATGGTAGAGTATAAGAGTATTTTTCACCTAGCTGAAAGGTACCTGATAACTGGGCACATTCACTGTAGAGTGTACGAGTGTGGTGTGTTTTCCTGAATAGACATATATCTTGATGAGATACATTAATGCATTAAAATTAATCAATATATTAAAAATCAACATACATTAATTCATTAATACATTATACTTAAAATTTAAAAATAATTTGTAATTCAATATGATTCTTCAAGGTAGTACTTGGGATAACAGGTTTCTCAGAATACGAAGAATTTAGTTTGGAGGGCTCAGGAAGTGAGGGAAGGAATCTGAAAACAAATAAAAATACCTCTCTGCTCCCATATGATTTGTATATTCCTGGAATTACAGTAAGCCTGATTTTTTTTCTTTTTCTTTTTGTTGAATTTATTGGGATGACACTGATTAACAAATTATTCTACAACACATCATCTGTACACTGTATTGTGTTTTCATCCCCTCCCCTGTCCCACTGCCAAGTCAAGTCTCTTTCCATCACCATTTATCCCCTCTTTATCCTCCTCCACTTCCCCCTGGTCCAGTAATTACCACACTGTTCTTCATGTCTGGGAGGTTTTTGTTCTCTCTCTCTTTTCTCTTTTATTTGTTAAATCTCTCCACCATGCCTACACCACATACAGCTGTCAGCTTGCTCTCTATCAACAAATTTATCTCTATTTTGCTTATTTAGTTCATTTGTTCATTAGATTCCACATATGAATGAAATCATATGGTATTTGCCTTTTTCTGTGGTATCTGGCTTATTTCACTTTGCATGATACTCTCCAAGTCCCTCCATGCTGTCTCAAAGGGTAAGAGATCCTTCTTTTCTACAGCTGCATAGTATTCCATGGTATAAATGTACCAGAGGTTGTTTTATCCACTCATCCTACTGATGGACACTTGGGAAGCTTCCAAATCTTGACTCTTGTACCCTACAATGAACATAGGGGTACATATATTATTTTAAATTAGTGTTTTGGGTTTCTTTGAATTTATTTCCAGATGTGGAATTGCTGGATCATAAAGCAGTTGCATTTTTAATTTTTTTGAGCTAACTCTATAATGCTTTCCACAGTAAACCTGATTTTCAAGAACTGGAAATACTATCAGTCATGGCCAAGTGTAGAAACTTTGCTTATTGTGCATGGCAGTATTCTAGTTGCCTTACATATATTGTTATTATCTTCATAATAACCTTGAAAGGCAGACAAGGATCCCATTTTACAGATGAATAAATTGTGACATTAATTTAACTCTTCTAAGATCACATCACTATCAGGAGGTAGAGGCAGGATTGCAAAGTTGCTTTTCTTCCACCCGACACTTCATGGCTCAGTCTGCTTATGCCAGGTTAGAGTATGTGAGGTGTTCAGAATCTCATTCTGTGTCGTTTGGGTATCTGTTGATTTGAAGTAGGCCAAATTACTAAAAGTGTAATAGTACATGATAGCACGAATGCATGAGCAAATTTATAACAATAAAAAAAATATGTGTGTGTATATATATATATATATATATATATATATATATATATACACACACACACACACACACACACACACACACACTAGAGGCCTGGTGCACAGAATTTGTGCACTAGAGGGGGCGTCCTTCAGCCAGCCTATACCCTCTCGCAGTCTGGGACCTCTCAGGGGATGTTTCCTTGCCAACAGTTGGAAATCCCTCTCACAGTCCTGGACCCTTTGCTCCTTACTGCTCGCCTGCTCACTCTCCTTACCACTCTAGCTTGCTGCTCCTTCACACTGCCATAGAGGCAGTAGGGCTCATGACACCACCACTGCACTCACCAGTTGTGAGCCCTATCTTTCTGTGTAGTTGTCTGTGGGCCAACTGCTCTCTTCCTTCTCACTTAGGCGAGCAGCATGTGAGGGCAGAGCATGCTGTCCTGGAACGCAGAGGGCTGCCAGGAGCTGAAGGGAATAGCTGGGCCCACAGGGTGAGAGGTGGATACAGAGGACACTATCTCACCCAATTGTGGGGTGGGCTGGCCGGCCTTCATCTGCCTGACCCCACCCAGGGAGGGACCGAGCAGGGTGCCTGCCTCTCCTTTCTCCATCTTTCCATCTGTGACACCTGTCACCCTTGCCAGGCCTCCCCCAAAGTGAGTTCAGCTCAATCCCTGAATGTAAAAGGGCACGGGGAGAGGGAAGGGTGGGCCTCCACTCCAGTGCCCCCTTATTCTTAATGACAGGACCTGGTCTCAGGACAGTTCGCACAGCTGCAGAACATAGATCTGTTCCAAGAAAGGTTGGGAATGCACACTTTCCTATGAGCCCCTATTTCAAAAGGTGGCAATTTATTCACACTGGCAAAGACACCTTCAAGAGTAACATAAGTGGGTAAAGTCATGGTCAAATCAGACCATTTCTTCATCCAATCTCTCTGAGGCACATGGACAGAACCAAGTCTCAGCTCATCACAGGACACTTCCGGGTTTTTTAAGCCTAAAGGACAGTAGTCTGTCTCCATTCTTATTCTTTGAGATTTTTTTCATCGTTGGATAAAAGAATATGTACATTGGGACAATCTTCTTGAGATACAATATTCCAGTTGCACCCATGTGATGACAATAGCGCTCCTCAGAGGGAGGGAGCCAACAGATGGGGAGCAGGGAATTCTGAAAACCAAAGCAAAGGTTCAGATCTCGGAAGAAGTCCTTGGTGTTCTGCTGAGAAACTTGGACTCCTTTCTCTGCGATCACACACCAGACAGTCACACAGAAATAGTTTGGCATTGGCCAACTTATGGAATTCTCCCTTCTCTCTGTTCTCCTGAACCGGATTCCGGATGTTGACTGTGGCATTCTCTTGGTCATCGTTTTTTGTTTGTTTTGTTTTTCCCCCAAAACATTACTAACTTTATATGGATATAACATACAAAGATGCAGCCTCCTTTGTAGGAACATGGAAGGAAGAGGTGGAGAACTACAGCAAGCACCAGCTGTGGGGAGGGCCAAGGGGGAGAGGAGGTTGGCACTGGGGCTGAGGCTCTACAGCCATTGCTGGGGAAGTAGGAAACCCCTCTGAGTGCCACATTCTGAGGCTGAATTGATTGGTCAAACTGAGGCAGAGGTGAGTGGCATATCAGCCATCTTTGGTGCTGTTTACCCTTTACCACCCCAGCTCTGTTGTACAACCCCAGAGCCCTGGATTCCATAGGCCCCAACCAGAGAAGAGGGTGAGAGGAAGTGAGTAGGACAAGTTGAAAGCCGATATGCCTGTGTGCTGAGGGATGGCGGAGACAGAGGTGAGAGCTAGCAGGGGAAGGGCGCTCATACATACCTTTCTGTGAGGGCTACAGGTGAAGGAGGCCAGGGGAGTAGGGTAGGGATGGGGCACCATAGCCCCAGCCTCTTAGGCATCCCTGTCTGTCCTCTGTAGTGTACATGGAGGAAAGGGGCTGCCTCTGAGGAGGGCCAGGCCAGACCAGGTGACCATCTTGAGTTCTGGCTGAGGTGATGGTCCTCACCCGAAGATACCTTCTAACTGGTGATGGACCCAGGCCTGACCCTGCTGCTGCAGGCACTCAGGACCCAGGCCTGTCACCACACTGCGGGAGCCCAGGACACAGGCCTGACTGATTGCTGCTGCTATGCAATAGACCCAGGCCTGCTGTGGGCTCCTGGGCACAGAAAGATCCCCTGCTGCCAGAGCAGCCTCCTGCTGGACTGTTAATATGCAAATTGGTCATTACTGTGCAGCTGTTAGGACTAATTTGCATATTACCTCTTTATTATATAGATATGTATATATGAATATACATGCACGTTTTAAATTACTAAAACCTATTTTTCTCTTTAACTCAGATGAAGTTGTTCTGAAATTTGAAAATGGCAAAGCCAGGGCTAAGAATGTATTTTATGAAACATTACCAGTGGCAATTAATGGAAATGGACCCACCAAGGTGAGTCACAGTGACTTTTCCCTATTTTCTTATTTTTTGGAGATAGACCATGGAGCAATATGTAGAACATCTTTAAGAGGCTTTATTGTGGTGCCAACAATTAAATGGCTTTATCTTTTACACATTACATTATCTGATTTCATCTAGATTACCTAATGACTTTTTCTCAGCAATGATAACTTTTTACGCTTTCTAAAACACAGAGTGAGCCATACTTCCTTCATATAAGGCAGTGGTCAGCAAACCGAGACTTGGGAGCCAAATGCAGCTCTTTGGCCCCTTGAGTGTGGCTATTCCACAAAATACCATGGCCTGGGCAAGTCTACTTTAAAGAAGTAGCGTTAGAAGAAGTTTAAGTTTAAAAATTTTGGCTCTCAAAAGAAATTTCAATCGTTGTATTGTTGATATTTGCCTCTACTGACTAATGAGTTTGCTGACCACTGATATAGGGCATCCTCTCCTAATAGGAATTATTGAGGTCGTTAATGGATCATTTGTTTCACCTGATTCACCATTTTTTAAAGTAACAACTCTACTAAGATATAGGTATAATTATATGCCCAAAATGCTTCCTTTTGCACTTATTTCCAACCTGGGGTATAGTTGACAAACACAAATTGACTAATGAAATTTTGCATTTTTTTCAACTGTATATAATTGATCTTGCTAAAAATGTAATTGACTGCAAATTTATAGGTAAGTTGGTAAAGTTCATATTGCTGTTATCCAGTTAAAATTGAACATGATTTGTGTGCATGCACACACAGCACGCACGCGAAACCATGTTCTGAGATGCTGAATTGGCTGTTTTACTCATAAGTATATGGAAAAGAGATTATAAGTAGATTTGCTTTGTGGGAAGGCCAACATGGGGAGTTGTGTTTCAGAGAAGTCAGTAGTCAAAATTCCAGTAAAAGCTATATGCATAGGAAGAAATTCAAGGGAAAACCCACTTTGGCAGTATTTCCAACATCAAAATGAAAGTAGACTCCCCTTCTGCCCTATTTAATCTTTTTACCTTGCTTTATATCCCATTCCAGCTCTATAAAGCTGGCTTTCCCATGTGCTCTCCTTTCTCTATTTTGTGTCAATTTCCCCAGGTGCATTATCCTTCTTATCAGCATTTTAAAGACCCTCAAATATTTTCCATTCTCTAAACAAAACAAAACTGAGCCAACACAAACTATACTATCCCCCTCAATTCACACTGCCTGTCAGCCTTCCTATCTTTTCTCCTCCACATCACAACCAGGGTGCTTCCTTTTTTTTTTTTTTTTTTTTGATAAAGAAGTTTGTTTTATTTCATACATTTTAATACAATATTCAGTCAATTAATTATTGTATGGGAAGTGGTTTCCTGATACATAAATGTGTAAGAAAAAATGAATATTAATTTCATTACATCAAATTTTAGAAAACTCATGATTTAAACTATAATTTGCGAAACATTTTATTTAAAGTGTGTTTTTGGTGTTTTTGGCTCCAGCTGGTTTGACTCAGTGGATAGAGCATCAGCCTGATGATTAAAGGGTCCTGGGTCTGATCTTGATCAAGGGCACATACCTTCATTGCAGGCTTGATCCTGGGCTCTGGTCTGGCATGTGGGGGAGGCAACCAATGTCTTTCTCACATTGATTTTTTTCTTTCTGTGTCTCTTCCCCTTCCTTCCACTCTTAAAAATCAATGGAAGTCCCTGGCTGGTTTGGCTCAGTGGATAGAGCGTCAGTCTGTGAACTTAAGGGTCCCAGGTTTAATTCTAGTCAAGGGCACATGGTTGCATGCTGGATCCCTGGTGGGGATACATGCAGAAGGCAGCCAATCGATGATTATCTTCCATCATTGATGTTTCCACATCTCCCTCCCTTTTCCTCTTCTCTGAAATGAATAAAAATATATATTTTAAAAAAACAATGGAAAAATATCTTTAGGTGAGGATTAACAACAAAAAAAAATATTAAAGTATGTTTTTGTAAGAGGTACCCATTCAATTAGAAGTTTCTTTTACTGCCACAGGTCAAATGCTCCCCAGGTTGACTTCTACTCTGTCTGCTTAAGATATTATCAGAAGAAAAAGGCAACTGATCAATCTCTCTTTCTCTCTCTCCTCCCTTCCTCTTTCTCTAAAATCAATAAGCATGTCCTGAGGTAAGGACTAAAACAACAAAGTATGAAATAGGATATTGAGAGACATCGAGAAGAAGAATCATACCTCTCTACTGCAGTTAGAGGCATCGGGTATGAGGATGAGACACTTTCTATGATTAAGGTCCATCATCCCAGTCAATATCTTATATTACTAGATTGTGAATGATGAATTTGCTTCACTGGTATTAGCCCTTTTATAGACAGTACAGAAAATGGAATTCTGAATAGCAATCGCCAGTTGGTTTTAAGAAGTGGAAACAACTCACAGCCACCATGCACCTTACCACCCACCAGGAAATGAGCCTCCAGGTTGTGTGGATTGTTAAGTCCTTTTTGAAAAGAAAACACTGTTAGTCCTCATTTATAATTCACACAAAGATAGCTTTTTTTTAATCTCATTTGGTTTACATGACATACTCTTTCTCTTCGTTTCCATGATGCTCTGCTGATCTGTCTACTAATTTTCTAGTTTTTCCTCTTCAATCTCTCTCTTCTTTAAATATTTTATTTTTTTAAATATTTTATTTTGTATGTGGAGGGGGATAGGTTTGGGGGAATGGTCCTCTGCCTATCCTGTTTTAGTAGAGTTCCATAGTATCTATTCGAGACATCTTTCTTTTCTCTTCTGCATACATTTTTGGGTCATTGCTTCACTCCTACATCAACAAATTTCTCAAGGCTGATGATTTGCAGATCCTGCCACTAACTCCTGGTACTTGGTCTGAATATCCAATTGGTAGATTTATTTGTGTGTCATATGAGACCTGGAGCTCAGCACCTTAAGCTCTGCCTCCTCTTCCATCCAATTGGTTAACCAGAACCTGGGTTTTATTTTAGCGGTAGTTGCTTCCCTCTCTGAATCCAGGTGCTATTCTTTCTAACTATTATGTATGGTGGTTGATCTAATTTTCTCAAAGCAATTGGCAACTTACTTAATTTAAGCCACCTGGAACCTCCCACCAATAACAATCATCCATCAGTAGTAGCCTAGAACACAAGTTTTTGGCTGAAGTATTATAGAAACCATTCACTTCACTCACCTGTGCAGCGCCCTCCATGGATTTCGATAAAGTTCTCAATTCTCAACTTGTCTCATAAGGCTCTTTTTAAACTTTGTTCCTGTTTAGTGATCACCCACCTACTGTCCCATACCCAACTCCTTGCACAATAAATATTCACACATCTATTTTTTCATAATCAATAATTCTCTTTCTTTGTTCCTGCCGTACTGAATATTTTGAACTTCACAAATGTTTCATGTTTCTTCTTTCTGTAAGTCTTTCGTGCATGCATTTCACTCATCCTGGAATCCTCTGCCCCCAGTTCCACTCCTGTACCCAATTACTTGTTTATCTTTTAGAGTCAGTTTAGTTTTCACTCCTATGTATGCTTTTATAATATCTGGAACTTTGTCCGTCAAGTACATACCACACACTGGACAGTAGTAGAACTTACCTGATTTTTAGTCTCACTTACTGGGGCTTTAGCCTAGGAATTACAAACTCACATCTATTTCATTCATGTTTTGTTTTCCTGGGGTTCAGCACTTGTGTACCCTGTATTAGCCTTTCAATAAATGGAATTTGAATAACACAGTCTAAACAATGTATTGATCTAGCATAGGTTTTTATTTCTGGAAAGACAAAATACTTGTAAAATTGCTTGGCTCAGCAGTTGAGTTCCACCTATGGACCAGGAGTTCATGGTTCAATTCCCATTTATGCCCTGGTTCCTGGCTCAAAACCCATGTGGGCGAGGGGAAGATGGTGTGCAGGAGGCAGCTGATCAATGATTCTCTATCATCATTGATGTGTGTTTTTTCTTTATTGATTAAGATATTACATATGTGTCCTTATCACCCCATTGTCCCCCCCCTCAATCATGCTCTCATCCCCCCTAGTGTCTCTGTCCATTAGTTAGGCTTATATGTATGCATACAAGTCCTTTGGTTGATCCCTCCCCCTTACTCCTACACTCCTCACCCCCAACCTGCCCTCTGAGGTTTGACGACCTCATTGATGGTTCTCTGTCTCTGGAACTGTTTGTGTTCTTTAGTTTATGTTGTTCATTATATTCCATAAATGAGTGAGATCATGTGATATTTACCTTTCTCTGACTGGCTTATTTCACTTAATATAATGCTCTCCTGTTCCATTCATGCTGTTGCAAATGGTAAGAATTCTTTCTTTTTTTACTGCAGCATAGTATTCCATTGTGTAGATGTACCACAGTTTTTAAATCCAATCATCTGCTGATGGGCACTTAGGCTGTTTCCAAATCTTAGCTATGGTAAATTATATTTCTATGAACATATGGGTGCATATATCCTTTCTGATTGATGGTTCTTGTTTCTTGGGATATATTACTAGAAGTGTGGTCACTGTAACCAGTTCCATTTTTAGTTTTTTGAGGAAATGCCTTACTGTTCTCCACAGTCACTACACCAGTCTGCATTCCTACCTACTAGCAGTGCATGAAGGTTCCTTTTTTTCCACATCCTCACCAGAACTTGTCATTTGTTGATGATAGCCATTCTGACAGGTGTGAGATGGTAATGCATTGTCGTTTTGATTTGTATTTCTCAGATAATTAGTAACTTTAAGCATGTTTTCATATGTCTCTTGGCCGTTCTTATGTCCTCTTTCAAAAAGTGTCTATTTAGGTCCATTGCTCATATTTTTATTGGGTTGTTTATTTTCCTTTTGTTAAGTTGTATGTATTCCCTGTAAATGTTGTAGATTAAACCTTATAGGTGATAGCATTGGCAAATATGTTCTCCCATGCTTTCTTGTTGTTTTGTTAATGATTTCTTTTGCTTTTAATTTTTATGTAGTCCTATTTGTTTATTTTATCTT